TGCCAGTAGATGCATCAGATTCTCCTCAGAAGATCTCCAGTTAAATAAAGTACAGTCTTTTACCTTCTTGGGTTGAAATTTTGGAAATATCAGGTTATGATTGTTTCTAAAGTGAAAAATTTCATTTCCCCACCAGTCTCTCTGCTCTGTGAAGTAAATTAAAATATTTTATCTGATGTGCAAGCTTTTGTGTTTTAAAGCTGTAAATATTTGACCCTCAGTTGATATTTTTCTGAAGGTTCTTGAACATATCAGTTCTCAAGTTTAGTATCCAATCCACATTTGCACTACTGTAAGGCAAGAATGGAGATTACTCAAATACAGGTTAGCTCTCATTCGTACCATCAGTCTTCATCATAAGTCATTAAATGCTGTTTGTCTTCCCCACCCCTCACCCCCTTTCTTTCTCAATAAGGCAGTGCATTTTTTCTTTTAAACTGTAGGTTATCCCATTAAGAAGACTGACTGCATGATGACATCTAAAATACTTACTGCAGCAAGAGCTTTGGTTAGCTAGAGCTAGCTTCCCTAGATTCATAGAGACCACAGTCTAGTACAGACTTGCAATCTGGGGTTAAATGATGGTCAGACTGCAGAATCAAATGCTTGCAAACCTACACATCATCTTTAGTCCTTCTCTGCAGACTATTGGTAGCCCTATTTTAAAACTATCTTGGGGATGCTGTTTCTGCAATTTTAATTGTGCCTGGTCCTTTTTGCAATTATTTAATTGAGATCTAGAACAAGTGCAGAAAAAGACCCAAACTTGTCATGAAACAGGGTCATTCTGGAGGTCTGTGGCTTATCTGGAATTTTAAGAAAGTCTTATGCTATCATAAAATGACAGTGATGGGAGTGTTTGGCCAGTCACAAAGATCCCATTACACCGAAGAAAAAAATGGATAAAATAAAAAGACAAGTGATTTGTCCAAACACCTGAGTTGAAGACGTAAGGAGAATGCTGAGCCCCATAGCACAAAAAAACACTCCTTTTGAATCCCCATTTTTTGTTTCAGCAGGCCAACCATTCCACAAACAAGCAACCCATTTCATTTCTCCCAATCCTCTTGAATTAATTTATTATTCCATTTTTTTTAACCCTGCTAACATGAACCACCCCCCAAAGCAAACTCACACATCCCATCCTGCCGTGCACGAGAACCATGTTGAAGATCAGATGCGTGCGCTTTCACCTTCTGGCAAACAGGCAGCCATGTTTATGCAGGCATGCTGTAGATACAGCGCTGGAGGGTGGAATTCATTTCCACAGGATGCAATATTTAGACTAAGTCATGTCAGATGTGACTATCAGACACTCACAGACTCTCAGCTACCCACAGGATCAGGAGAGGCCTGTCAAAATCAGTTGGAAGGGAGCATGCAGAGGAGAACGCTGTTGTGCTTTCTGGAATTGCCACATTTGCTGTGGTCAGGAGTGTGCCCTTTGCCTGATTCAGGAGGCTGTGCTTATGTTCCTATAATCAGAAGGCAGAGGGAAAGATATTCCATTTCCCTGCATGATCATTCAGCGCGGATGTAGCATACATTAGGGCAGAGTTTCTCAACCTTGGCCACTTGAAGATGTGTGGACTTCAACTCCCAGAATTCCCCAACCAGCATGGGGGAATGGCTAGGGAATTCTGGGAGTTGGCTGGCTGGGGAATTCTGGGAGTTGAAGTCCACACATCTTCAAGTGGCCAAGGTTGAGAAACTCTGCCCTAATGTATGCTACATCCGCGCTGAATGATCATGCAGGGAAATGGAATATCTTTCCCTCTGCCTTCTGATTATAGGAACATAAGCACAGCCTCCTGAATCAGGCAAAGGGCACACTCCTGACCACAGCAAATGTGGCA